TAGGGTTAGAAGTTAGTTCAATTAAGTGTCATTCATGACGAGAGACCTCCCGGTGAGAGAGGTTGCTTACGTGTGTAGGAAAGAGTTGTTTGAACGAGTGTCCGAATGAATCGTTGAACGGTTACCTGGCTTCGACGAAGAAAGCAAGAGGATCGACGGTTCGAGGATCGAGCCCGGAGAGAGGATCGATTCCAACGGGCCGGTTTCCGATTGCGTTGTTTTTGAATATGCAACCCGTTCGTTCGCGATGAATTATTCAATACGGATATTCCCTGTGTGTCTTGGAAACAATATACTTCGGTCGGATCATTCCACCGGGAGAAGGAAAGGGGAAACCCGGCCGAACTGTCCTGGTACCCTCGGCAATTGCTCAATCCTGGTTGGTACTCGCGCCGAGGTCCGTGAAAGTATAAGTAAGGCGCGGGATCGACGATCCTCTCCGGGTCTCGCGTTCGACGGCGAACGTTGCGCTCGTCAAACTAAACGGCCAGCCGTGCTCGATACGATACGCCGTTACGCGTCGTCCGGGAAACCTCCCGCGACACTTTTCTACGAGACACGCGACACAGCCAGCGAGAGGGATATTTACGCTCATCGGAGGCGCCGTGTCCGGGAACGTGATCCTCAGAATTGCCTCGCGTTACTTTAGTATTACTCGCCGCTACTCGTGAACCAATCGGGAACCGTTTCGAAGTCTCGCTACGGGAATTGTACCGCCGCTCGCTTGTCGAATATAGGTCGTCGTCGTCCGTTTGACAGCGTAACGTCTGCATCGGCCCGTCGTTGATATCGTGTACAAGCGTTTCATTTGCACAAGCGATTCACTCTATGAAATAAGAAAGATTCGATGAAATGACGTACGCGAAGGAAATCGAGTGTTCCGAGGCTGGAAATCTGGCGACATTCGATCTGTAATTCGTATGAACCATTGAAAAAATAGGAAACGATGGTTCAACGCTAAAGTTTGCGTCGAATCGACAAAAAGTTATCTCGAGTGGATGTAAGTAACCTCATTTTTGGATGTTTTCAAGCGTTAACAGCAAAACACTTGATCGATTCGTTGTGTACGCAGTTTCATCGAATCGCTCTACCGGTCATTTGATAGAGTTAATTAGCTCGATAAGCGAATGGCTCGTATACCGATGCTGGTCCGATGTCAGGCCGATGTTACGCTGTTAGATCGATTATCTTATCTTTCCCCTGAACGGCCGGAATCTCCGATCGCCGGAGATGCTACTTAACTGCCAATCTCGTGAATTATGACCGGGCTGCGGAGGTCTGTGCGGTTCGTAGAGTTTCCCGGCTCGACGAATCGGGTGGTTGTATCATCACGATTTTCGTCCTTACGAGTCGTCGACTCGGACTCGCGCGATTTGCATAAACACCCGCGGTCTAATTATGAGAAATCGATGAGATCGTTGCCGTACTCGACGCACGTTCAACGAACAGAGCGTTCCGTGATTATTTGACAAACATTGGGCCTGCTCCTCGCCGACCAATTCGCGAAAGTAGACGCGTTTTTGTTACGATCGATTGGTAATGAAATTGAACGTGAACGCTCGGAAGTGGATCGGTGGAAACGGCTGACGTCTGAAAATGACCGATGCGAGTCGCCGATAGAAATCTCGACTCGCAGTGTTCTTACGGTTTCCGCTGTGCTTTTTTCGGAAGAGTATTGCTAACGAATGATAAAAGTTTCTCGATGAAAACTGATAGGACAACGTTCTTACTGGAACTGCTTTCTCTTTTATTTAGCTACTACTGTAAATCATAGAACATAACTTGAAAGAAGGAACTTGGATTCGTTAGTAATATCTTCGAGAAGATAAATCATGAAGTACAATACAATGAATTGGAACAAATTAAGCGAACGATGGAATATTTAATCAGTTACTGCGAAGAATTTTGTGCCAAGTTTTAATCTTATTTCGATCGATGGCGTTGAGAGAGTTATAGGCGGGATTTTGATTATTGAGTTTTGTGTATTTTCTTCGTTTAATCACGAAAATTTTCAACTCTTTTCATTGTCTACTTATAACACGACACTGCCCACAAGATCCGAAAAAATGTCAAGGCAATAATCACGACAATACATATAAAATTTGCAACCTAAAGTGTCATCGGCAATTTTCGAACTTCTATCTTTACACGATATCCCAGATGTTCTCAAAATCTTCTCATCAAACGTAATAATCCAACGAAACTCGATAATTCGAGTCTTCCCGATAACAACCCTCCCAATCAAGCTAGCAAGTTAAAACCGAACACAAAATATTTTCCCTCGGTAACTCGTCGAATCGTCCATCTATGGTCAACTATACTTCCCTGCAAAAAGTAACGAAACCTTTTAGTCGCGCAATCTCTGGCAAAAAAGGGGTTGTCGCTGAATCGCGGAGCACGGTTTATCCCACAGTCGCTTGCGCGCGAAACGCAGCCACAGTTCGCTGTTGCGTCGCGGAACAGGAGTTTCCCGGCGAGAGGGGAATAATATTTTAATACGTCACGTCCTGAAACAGAGAATTTATCCGCGTCCGAAGTTCGGTAGCTACTCGTGGCGTATTGATTGATGAAACGAGCCAGCGTATCCCGCTCGTCCGTCTCTTTCATCCCTTCGGTGCTCTCTGTGATCCCATCCCTCCCGCGGACTTTTCACTTTTATCCGGCCGGTTCTTCCTCCTTTATGCGCCCCGGCGTTCCCTCTGTGTCTCTTTGCTTCCGTGTTCTTTCTGCCGAACTTTCACCGGCAGCGGGCTTTCCCTCTGCAACTTTACTTTGCCCGGCGGGCAACGTCAGCCGGGCTATCAGCGCTGCCGATATAAAAAGGTAGCCCCGGCCGGCTGATGCAAACAGAACCGGGATGAAGATATACGCGCATCGGACCCCGATGCTTGTCGGGGGGCTTCAGAGGATGCATTTACGTAACGACCGTGTCTAATCTCGGCCGCTTCTCCTTTTGATTTCGACACTTTATCTGTCCGTTGTTCCGTCGCCTATCGAACCTGACAATTAACTGCTGGGAATCCTTCGATCGGTGCACTGATAATCGTTATAGTTTAACCCTTTTAGTGCCAGCGAAAAAGTTTTAGGGTTTGGAAAATGCTCGTGAAAACCAAACGAGAAACAATATTTACATGATTCAAAAAGTGTATTAAGGACGAAATAGTGGCTATTCATTTGAATAAATGTATCACGAGTGTAATTTTCAGTTCGAAAATCGACGCAACACAAATCAGCCGTGTATCTCGATCGAAAGGAGACCGCAGTTTCAGTTTTCGAGTGAAACATTTGTTTTTTAATCGCTTGGAAAGCGGAAATTAATATCGAGCCGCCGAAATAGATGTGCATTACGAAGACAAGTGGGGTTCACTGGTCTGCGAAGAACGGCGCGATAACAGGGAAATTACGAATCGGAAAAATCGAATGAAACAAACGAGCAAAGTGTGTGCCGGCCCGCCTACTCGATGATAAATTATTCGACGATGGACGGGAATTTTGAAATTGAACTATCTTCGAATGGAAACTGCCAGGTGAACGCGCAGGTACCATTAATTGGGAATAGGTGTCGTTTTTACATTTACAACGAGCATCGGAAATAAAAGAGTCATTCTTTCGCTCGATGGCATGGTATGACGAAAATAAAAATAGTCGAAATGGAAAACTGAATGGAAAATAATCGGAGATCATTGACAAGTGAAATAAAAATGTCTATAATATCGACGCGGGGCGATCGTAAAAATAACCCGTACTTTCTTTTTCACCGGCGTGTCGATATAAATAATTTCACGCGCGACGTATAAAATTTCTAGGCCGCATGATTTAGCGCTGCAAACAACGAAACTCGTAAATCTTCGATATTAGATCCTTGCCCGTAAAGTGTC